TAATTGCCTCTTATGGCCCCACTCTATCCCTGGGGGTCATGTGTGGACAAATTAAATCTACACTATGTTATGAGGCTTTCAAATAAAACTTTTCTGACTCAGTGGTTCTTGAGAATAAGACTTTTGAAATTTTCAGTCATCTTATATCTCCTTAAAATGAGCTTTACCCTTATTTGAACAAACTTAAATCCCCTTTACCCAAGGAAACTTTTAGGCAATTTTGTTTAAACTGGTCCAGCAGTTCTTGAGAAGATAATATTGTAAAAATTTTACGCCAAAGACAACAACAACAACGGAGATTATAATCGGAAATAAAAGTTTATTTCATCCGTCAGATCAAATGAGCTAAAAATAAAGGCTGGTGGGGGTGGGGTGGAACACTTGCCTAACAAAATACTCAATATAAAGCTGTTCCCAAAATTTTGCATTCATAGGGTATGTTTATGTTAGCAAACTTTTCCAAAGTGCCATGATATTTGGTTCTTGTCGAAGGGAGGGACCAAATCAACGTGAGGGAATGGTTTAACAACATACAAAATATAACGTTTTACAATAGAAATTAACTCTTTGTTTCTCTATATATTTTATCACACCTCTAGTGTGTTTCTTGTTATTTTGATTAGAATAATGATGATAATTGCTGCCTAGTCCAATTTTGTACAGGCCCATATAGTAATTATGCTATTTGTACCCTGTTTACCCGTTTACCGGTCTGCAACAAGTCTGGCGAGGGTCTATGTGAGTAATTTTCGAACATAATTTGGTTCATTTTTGCATACTCAAAATATGAAAACAGTCATGTATTTTGTGATGAATTTAAGCCTTGAACTCAGTTGTAGTTTTCTTTGTGACCTTGATGGAAGGAAAAATGAACAAGAAATTTATTTGCAGAGGTTTTCTATAAACTTGACAACCATCCTAGAAAATAAATGTTTCATCCAGGTAGGGCAAACGAGAGAAAAAAATAAACCCTGGACAAGGATTGTACACAAAGAGTTTACTGACTTTGACCTTTCATCTATAAAAATTAGAAAGAACGTTTGCTCTAGACAAGTATATGTTTATGCAAAGAGATTTTCTTACCTTCACCTTTCATCTGGAAAATTGGCTCAATGTCACCGCAAACCCTCTACCCGAGAGGACTCTATGTATAAAATATGAGCTCAAAAGAGCCAAGCGGGGAGAAAATATGCTCTGAACAAGGATTTTACACAAGGAGGTTTTCTTTACCTTGACATTTGTTTGAAAAAAATGGCTCAAGTCCTTGAACACCCTTCGCCAATGGATACTCTGTGAGTAAAGTTTGAGCCAGGTAAGGCCAAGGGGAGAGAAGACATACTCTGAACAAAGTTTTTTTTATGCAAAGCTATTTTCTGACGTTGATCTTTCATCTAAAAAATTGATTCAAGGTCACTGCATACCCTCTACCCAAGGACGATCTATTGTTTGAAAGAGTTAAATATCAGCTATTATCAACGTTGCCTTTGAATAGTGCATTCAACCAAGACTGAGGCAAAATAGGGCTATCGTTTCCCACTGTCACATTTGGGTTGTAGGGGTGCGATTAAGAAGTAGTGTTAAGGTTTGGGACCAAATTGTTAGCAATTTTCTCTTTGTAATCTTTGGACAACATTTGAAATAGCAGTGCTATGGGTAAGTATTCTTATTTAGTATACCTTGTCAACTTTTTGAGGGATCTCCGGCTCTCTGGCCCTGGAAGGGACCAGTAGACTAAACCAAACATTTTTTTTATATTGCATTGTGAGATGAAGTTAAAGAAAGACTACTACCTCCCTTACCTTTGAAGTGTAAAAACAACAAAGTTTAGATTAGCTTACTGGCCCTTTTCCTTCAACAGGACCCTACGAAAACCTGGCAAGTAGTTCTCCCTAAGGTCCTTAACCTTTCACTAGTGTTACTTTGTTCTAGTAGGCAAAGATGCTTTCAAAATGAATGCTTGAAATACGTGCCCCACCCATGGCACCACTTGGTGGTAACACTACAGCAACATTCTGATAGAGGGAAATGATAGTCCTAGGGGCCCTCTACCTTGCCCCAGTAATGATTTGAAGCACACTTCAAAGATAAAGGGTGTAATTGCTGTCCCTTAACCCGTATATTGAAACACAAAGTGAAAAATAACAAAGTTCATGTTAGCTTACTGGCCCTTTTTCTTCAACAGGACCCTTCGAAAACCTGGCATGTGGTTCTCCCTAAGGTCCTTAACCTTTCACTAGTGTTACTTTGTTCTAGTAGGCAAAGATGCTTTCAAAATGAATGCTTGAAATACGTGCCCCACCCATGGCACCACTTGGTGGTACCACTACAGCCCCATTCTTATAGCGGGAAATGATAGTCCTAGGGGCCCTCTACCTTGTCCCAGTAATGATTTGAAGCACACTTCAAAGATAAGGGGTATAATAGCTGACCTTTAACCCGTATATTAAAACACAAAGTGAAAAGCAACAAAGTTCAGGTTAGCTAACTGGCCCCTTCCTTTCCCAGGGACACTTCCAAAACGTGGCAAGTGGTTCTCCGTAAGGTCCTTAACCTTTCACTAGTGTTACTTTGTTCTAGTAGCCAAAGATGCTTTCAAAATGAATGCTTGAAATACGTGCCCCACCCATGGCGCCACTTGGTGGTACCACTACAGCCCCATTCTGATAGCGGGAAATGATAGTCCTAGGGGCCCTCTACCTTGCCCCAGTAATGATTTGAAGCACACTTCAAAGATAAGAGGTATAATAGTTGACCTTTAACCCGTATATTAAAACACAAAGTGAAAAACAACAAAGTTCAGGTTAGCTTACTGGCCCTTTTTCTTCCCCGGGACCCTTCGAAAACCTGGCAAGTGGTTCTCCGTAAGGTCCTTAACCTTTCACTAGTGTTACTTTGTTCTAGTAGGCAAAGATGCTTTCAAAATGAATGCTTGAAATACGTGCACCACCCATTGCACCACTTGGTGGTACCACTACAGCCCCATTCTGATAGCGGGAAATGATAGTTCTAGGGCCCTCTACCTTGTCCCAGTAATGATTTGAAGCACACTTCAAAGATAAGGGGTATAACATCTGTCTTTTAGTCGTATATCAATAAACAAAGTGAAAAACAACAAAGTTCAGGTTACCTAACTGACCTTTTCTAGTCATTGGAACCTGTCAAAAAGTTGACAAAGGAACTCCCTAAGTCCCTTAACTTTTTCCAGTTTAGTGTTAGTTTGTTCTAGTGGTTAATGATGGTTGAAAAATGAAAGCATGAAAGATGTTCCCCACCGTTGGCACCACTTGGTGGTGCCGTTACAGCCTCAAACCGATTGCGGGAAAGATAGTCCTAGAAATCTTCTATCTTGCCACAGTAATGATTTAAAGCACACTTATAAGATAAGAGGTATAATAGCTGCTTGAAATATGTAACTCGCCCCTGGCACCACTTGGTGGTACCACTTCAACCTAAATTTTATGGTCGTATATAATAGCCCTGTGGACCCTTTTACCTTGAGCCAGGAATTGTTCGAAGCACACTTCAAGGATCATAACTTAAAATAGATTAAATTACCTTCAAACCCTTATCAATGTAAATATTAGGAGTAAACAAATTTCAGGTTAGCCTTTTGGCACCATCATGTTCCTGAGACCCGTAAAAGAGCTTAAAAGGGATTCTCCCGGAAGTATTTAACCTATTTCCAATGCTGTTTTATTCTTAAGCGGTCAAAGATGGTGACATTTTCTTCTTTTTGTTTGTTTGTTGTGAAACCGCATAATTTTCCTTATGCAGGTGAGCTTAACTGCCTCCAAGTGTTTGAATTATTAAATAATTAAGTGTTGCATTAATTATCTAATTATTAATTATAAATTGTCGAAAATGAGGCATTAAACAGTATTGCGTCAGAGTACTCTCAGTCCTTTGATGAATTTCCTTAGTGGCTGCTAGCTTCTACGGGCTTAATGGCTGCTGTTATTGGCTGCTAGCTTCAGTCTAGTATTTACTTTGATAGATATTGCTAAGATGCTAAACATTTCATCGTCACAACAGTTTATAGAGTTCTGACAAATGAAATAAATCAAACAATAATTCTATCAGATGGGTGCCTTATTTCCTTACAAATGCTTCAGAGAAAACACACTTTAAATGACCCAATCTATTAAAAAATGAGCATTTTTCAAAAAAGAATATTTGATAAACTTGAGTGATAGATGTCGTAACATGGGTGTAGTTCTTATAGCTTAAAAGGAATATCAAGAATAAAATGTGGAATCAAACAGGAAGCTGTTGTCCTATTATTGCAAAGAGAAGCAAGGGCTCCAAATATATTTTATAAATTTTCTTTTTATTCAAGAGGTCCAGTAAAACATGTACATACAGCCAAAGGAAGAACTATCAATGGTAACTTTTATGTTAAAGTTTGACACGGGGAAGTTAAGCAGATTTCCTGCAAAGCAAGTCCAAATACTGGTCTACAGAGTATTTTTCTGTACCTGACAACGCTGAGCATAAGGAAATGAATAAAATGTTGAAGAAAAGCAAAGCTTGGCCAACCACCATATTCGCTAGATCTCAGTCATTATGAGACCTTTTTATTCCAAAAACGTATGAAAACAATCAAAGAAAGACTCTACTCGAGTATATCATAGAAAATGCTATTCATCAGTGTCTTTAGGGCATCTCTAAAGATGAGTATGCTGAAGTTCTCTGGTCATGGGTACAAAGACTTTAGACATGTGTAAATGTTAAAAGGGAATGCTTTTAGGGATTGAAAGTATTAAGAATCTGCTTTACGTGCTTTTTCTATTTTTAGATGACACTTTGCATTATTTATTGAACGACCCTCGTAAGCATTAGAGGACGATTTGACGAGCGTAAATCATGTATAAAGTTACCCCAAATAGTGAAAAGTTCAGAGACCATAAACACAACACAAATTCATTAAAAGGTTTTATTTATCAATGTAGTTGTAGTGGTTAATTGTTCAGGGAACAAGCACGGAAAAACATTCACTAGCTTCAGTCAGCTTGGATAAGAAATCCAGAGAAATGTGAGTGGTAAGCATTATCAGACTGCCTGTGTCCTCCTAAAGTAGAATCACCACTGGCCTCCATCCAAACTCGATCTCCTTTAGTCAGATGAACAACAGTAGAAGAACTTCGTTGCAGCCAATATTGCGTGTTTCCATCCAGAAATACGTACATTTCGCTTTTGCCATTTTTCTTCAAATATACATGCATTCCGTGTGGCGTACTTTCAGATGGTGAAGAACCAACAAAGGCAAAGTGGTATGTCCCCGATGTAGGTGCAGTGAATATTCCTTGCGCTGCATCATAAGCATTGGCAATGTTCAGTTCTGTTCCCTCAAACACAAGCTTTGTACCGGCTGCTGGAGACACGACGTCGTTTTCCAAATAGGCAAAGAAAGCCACACTTTGATCTTTGGCTTTCATGTTGGCTGTAAAGAATTCAATTTTGATTTTATTTTGAAATTAGTTTCATTAAAACATGTCAGTCTTAATCGGCATAACATTTAATCAATCTTTTGTTTACCTATCTCTTTGTTAAGTTCCACAACATCTCGCTGCAGACGTACGATTTCTTCCATCATGTTTTGAATATGCTGTTCTAAGGCAGCATTTGGAATGGATCCTCCATCTCCGTTAACAAGAAGTCCCTCAGACACCGCAAAGCATAGCATGAAAACGACAAACATTGTGTTCTGAATTTGAACCTAAAATGAGGAGATGGTGCGGAATACTAGTTGGTAATCTATGTATGTTACTCAAAACTTGAGAATAGGTTGGAGAGGAGCTGATTTTCAATTGGCCGTCATTGAAGTTATCTATGTATGTCAAGAATTGGTGATAGCAATGAGCATAAATGGGTTTCTTTCTTTGGAATCTTATTTCGGGTAGTTTACCTTGAGGTCAACAGACCTGCAAAAGGAAAAATGACAACAACGCCATTTTTTAACTGATAGAAAACTTTTTAACTTGTTTTACATGTATTCGATGCAATGGGTAAACGATAAAATGACCAAAATGGATTATAAATTGAGGACAACATTTTTTTTAATGTTTATAAAGGTGCTCCTTTTGCGTTACTACGCATGATAACTATATATGTTACTTCATATGGACGAGTGATCCTGTTTAAATGATCATACTTTTTAAGTTATGATGATGAAAATTTAATTTTTTTAGTGTTTGGCGGACATTTTTTTTGGGGGGGGGGGGGTAAGCATATGAAATTGGGGCAAAATATATTTGAACTGTGACTAAACGCACTTATGGAAAACCAATTTATTAAGAGGTGGAATGCACATTTGATTATGGTGTAGAAATTTTATTTATAAAAGGGTTTTACTACATGTAGGACTATTCATTTTCCAGTAAAGAAAATCTTGAGATGGGAAGGGGGAGAAGAGTCTGACTGATGGTTTCACCGACCCTCAGACAGACGTTAACATCGGAAGTTACCCAAGGCCGCCATGTTCTTTCAATATTTTTTTAAATAGTTATTTGTATGACATAGTGAAAGGTAAAGGAAGATGAAATACTGAAAGATATTACAATACAATAGTATCTGTGACCTCTCTGTAGTGTTTCTCACGTAAATAAAATTATCAGCAAGTGTTATCCAAGACCGAAGTAAGATTTTATCTTATGCTACCCCAACGCCTTCCACCCCTTGTGATAGCCTTTCCTACAGATATAGAGAATTGAGACTCGCAATTTGCCCCGAAATAATGTCTGTAATTCCTCCTCCCCCTTCAAAATAACTTGCGCAAATCACTCGGAGCTCCTCGGGTGGCTCGTATCTCGCACATTAACCTCGGACGTAAACGGTGTTCTACCATTTTGCTGATTATTTGAAATTTCTCTAAATGTTATATGTTTTTGCTTTCAAAGACTACTAACATAAGGTTGTAATCAAAACCAATATACAAAGAAGAGTTAGACAAGTTAAAAAACTTTTTGAAGAACTTTATGCAGAGCGAAATATGAAATGGCGGAGTTCAACAATTGTAACCATATTGAAGAAAAAAGTACATAATCCGAGTAAGAGTTTTCTGCAAGTTTTTTTTTTATTGCAACCGTTAATCCAAGTATTAACAAACATTTATATCTATTATTTTTTCATAGACAATTCATTTTATGTTGAGGAGGTCACTCAGAGGGATAGGTACATTGTAGAGGGTTAAATACAATTAGCTCTAAATAGGGCCCTGGGTAACATAAACCATTAGACTGATTCAAATTATACACATTTATGAAAAATCAAAATTACGTGCCTTGTGATTTATAACAAAGTATTTTAAAAAAAAAAACCCGCTAACGATATTACAAGATATTTAACCCTAGGCAAAGAATATATGATTTTCCGTAGTGTTTCTAATATAAATAAATTTATCGGCCAATATTAGCCAGGGCCCTAATTAGAGTTTATCGTATCTGAACCCAACCCCTTATGAATGGACTTCTCGTTTGAGATATAGAAAATTAAACTGATAATTAGATTTTCTTTTCCCCTCAATCTTTTTTTTATTCTTATATTATTGTGTATCCCCCTCGTCAAAACTTTTGGATTATTTTACATATCAGGGCATTTTAGAGTTCTGTTAAGCACTGGTAGTGGGCAGTTGGCAGTGGCAATCAGCACCTGGTTATCATATATGGATTTCCAATATTGTTGCATTCAAGCATGCGTATTAAAAATAACAATAGGCATTATAATCTTTTAGCAGAAGCAGTGAGCAGTTGGCAGGAAGCAGCTGACTGTCGTATACAAACCAGAAAATGTAATAAATGGAAAAAATTAATAACGCAGATTACATGTACATGTATTTTTTTTTCTTCAATGTTGCAACTTTTGTTTGAATAAATAAAAAAAATATAATTTTAATGCAAAAAATGCATGGGATTTTGTCGAACGTCTTTATTTTGATAAAACGATAAAGGTTTAAAAAAGTATCATTTAACTCAAAGGAGTCATTGCATGTAGTTTACCACATTCTCTCTATGTATGTTTATATGTTACGTATTTTATTTGCCTTTAAATACATGTATTCAATTTTTTTTCACAAAAATTACTCATGAATTTGAAAGAAAGTAGACGTTACTTGATAGATTCAAGATAGAATTCACTAATGGTACACAATTTTAATCTGCATGTATGAGAAAACCAGAAAAATGAGTGTGGTATCTATCTTCTGCGGAAGAATAACCCGCCACGGTAATTTGGCCACTGACTGAAACAATTTCCATCCAAATTTGGTCACCTTTGTTCAAATGCAACACAGTTGAAGAACTTCGTTGTAACCAAAATTGAGTATGGTAATCCAGAAAAATATACATTTCATTTTTTCCATTTTTCTTCAAGAAAATATGGACCTGATGAGAAGAGGGGTTCTGGGGTACGGAAGCAGTAAATGCAAAATTATAAGTCCCCGATATAGGAGCTGTAAATATTCCTGTTGTAGAATCGTACGCACTACCAATGTTAGTGTCTACCCCATGAAAAGACATCTTTGTTCCGGCAGATGGATTGACCATATCATTGGTTAGATAGGTAAAGAAAGCAATACTCAGATCTTTGGCTTGCATAGTAGCTGTAAATATCAAATATTGGCTTATTCTACGAAATATACATATTTAATACTTTTCATCAGAAAGACCATGTTTGTATTTTGTTTTTGCTTTTTAATTTATTTTACATATACATTTTTTTGATTACTTTTCCCCCTAAAACTTCATCGCTTTGTTTTTATTCATTGTACTAAAAAAAACCCACAGTAAATACAGTACATGTATTTACATTACAAAATAGATTGTCGAAATTCTTACCGATTTGTTTGTTTAAATCAGCATTTTGTTTGTTTAAATCAGCAATATCTCGCTGAAGTCTGATGATTTCTGCCATTATGTCTTGGATGCGATGGTCTTGGGAGGCATCAGGGAGAATTCCTCCTTCTCCATTAAGAAGTAAACCATTACAAGCAGCAAAGAACAACAGGAAAACCAGCATTTTTTGTCTGTAAGGCTTGTAATTATGAATTGTAAGAATATATCTGATAAAGATAATTACACTTTTAAGCCTACAAGATTATCTAGTAAAGTCAAAGTACAGATATTATGTTAATCAAGTTTAACCCAGAGGGGACGAATAACAGTTACATAGATAATGGCATTATACTCCATACTGATATTGAAAAAGATACCAACATTTTGTGTTGGTGAAATCTGAGTTTGATATCTAGAATTATTGTTTTTTCTTGTGGTTTGATCATCTACAAAAGTATTCTCCAAAATTTATCTCCATGCTCTTGTTGAATTATCATAGCTTAAATAAAGAAAGCGTATCTCATTTCATCATAACTCCACAGTTTAATGGTCACGATTTCCTGGTGAGAATTCGTACTTTCCTTGGTTCAATGTATATGATAAAAGATGCGAAATTTTTTTTTTCTTTTGTTGATAGTATGCAAACATAAAGAAATTAGACTTTCAAAGAAGTACAGAAAAGTATGGATTGTCATCATTTCTGTGGGCTTTTAGTTGTTGAAGGGGGGGGGGGATGTAGTTATTGTAATTAAAGTAAGCTTCTTTTAAATAAAATGTCAAGGGCCAAGTATAATCAGTCGATGTGACATTTACTAAGTGTGCTAATTCGTTTTATTACTACTTCAAATCTTGACACCTCAATAAGACACTTAAGTACAAAGCCTTGTACTTACACAAGCTCAGGGAAAATATTCTACTTCTTGCAAAAATGGAGGAAAAAACTGCAATGAATGTACATTGTACCTGTTACTTAATCATAAACTTAATAAACAAGATTATGTGTACTAATAAAATCCCTAAATTGGACATACTAATACCTTACACGAAAACAAGTTTATATACTCAAGTAATACCCGATAATCGGTGATTCATCTGACTCGGGAAAAAGTAAATGGCTTAAATGATTATTTCGGGTTCATGTCAGTAATCCCTCCATAAATGCATAAATCCCTGCAAATCATTCTTTGCTGCATGCATTTTTTAGCATAATACAGATGATTGAGGAGTTGAATTGGTGAAAGAAACATGACGGAAATTGCGCAGTCTCCTGTAAGGAAAATTTCTTTTTCATCGGATATATCCGATCTTCCTCCAACGGATGATATAGATGAAAGGATTGCAAAGATTAAAGAGGCTATTCAAAAATCGGAAATAAGACGTCAACTTCGAGAGAAGCATTTTCGAATTCGATTAAAACAATGTCTCGATAGAATCGAGACCTTAGAGGAAAAACAAGTGGAGAGGCTGGGTAAGGACGGAATCATTATTTCTTTAGAGAAAGTGAAAGCGGAAGCTTCTCGCGAAGTTCAAAAAGAAAAAGAGTTCCAATTTCAGAGGAGTCAAAAAGCTTATGAACAACAGATACGTGAAATAGAGCGACAAAATGTAGAAAACCCTCCAGAAACAGAAATAAATGAATGGCCTCAAAATACAAAGGAGGAAAAGATTGATGAAGAAGATACGAAGAATCTAGCGAATCTGTCCAATGAAAAATTAGTTTACAGTGTAAAAGAAGAACTTGCTAAACTTAACTTAAATGCAAATACGAATAAGAACAAAAAGACAACTCGAAATAAAAGGGATAAAAAAGATCCGAAAAATAAAGAACCAATTGTGCTCCCAGTTGCCAAGAACGAAAAACCGGTTCGTGCTGGAAGACGAGGATCTCTTCAGCATGATGCTTCGGACATTAGAGGTCTCGAAAGGCGCGGATCTTTAACGGGTGGTTTACTCGTGGGAGGTACCGGGGGTGGCCGGAGAGGATCCGTTTCTCTAGAAACACCAGACAAGAAGTATCTGGAACGGCGTCGTTCATCATTAAGAGATCCTCCTGATTGGTTACAAAAACAACCAGGTCCCGAATCTGGAAAGAAGGAGGCTGCCCCAAAGGATAGGAAAACTAGGCGATGAAGTCCATTTTCAATATTCTCCGTAAACGTGTTTGTGTTCGATGGACTTTACTAGTCAATTTGTACAACAAGCACCGCATCAAAGTATATGTTCAAATGATACTTAGCGATGATAATGACAATGATAAAAATTATCCACGTCAAACAACTAACTCTGATGATGTATACTAATTACATGGTTTTTATTTTCTTGTGAGTACTCTATAAGGGTGACGATTATCATTTACTGGCCACAAGGACTGGTTAACAGAGTTGTTCCACTTTGGACTTCGAAGGAAGTTAAAAATTCCAAAAATTGTTAATTTTCATTATTAAATTGACATTTTAACTTAAAATGTAGGGGGGGGGGGGGGTTCTTCATACAGATGAATACCAGCTTTCAATAATTATGTTTTATATTTAATAATACATTTGGATTTTAGTGAAAATTCCTGAAGAAGTCATCATTATTTTGTATAATATAACAGTACAACAATGAACCTAACTTTTTCCCGTTAAATATAAATTATTTTCAATACTATGGAGAACATACGTATTTAAATTACAGTTCTTTTTCAAAGTACTTTTTTAAAAATAGATTGAAGCTTAAATCTGTTAATGTTGTTTGAAATCAGATGTTAAACGCTAAAAAAAAATGCCATTGCCCTATCTCACCGGGTATGAATATAATTTTTGCGTATATGTAAAAGAGGATTATGTATTTTGCACATTGAAATCCGTTAAAACACGGCTTTACTAAATTGTAGTTAAGGTTTTTGCTACGTAATTAGCGGCTTAACTTGCATATCAGTTATCTTTGTTTTATGTATAGTCTTAATGACATTTATGTTTTAAATTCCCAGTTGGCACAACATGTATTACACTTGGGGGTAACAGAGATAAATTCATTTTATCTTTTGTCGTCAATGATGCGCCTAATCGAACATAATCAATATGGCCAAAAAACAGTGCACAGAGCGATTGTTTAGGATATTTGGACGTGATATCTTGCCAGATTCGTGATACGCCTTTTTCCAGAAGGCTAAACAACTATGTCTTAACTTCAAAAACAATTTATTCGATTGAGAAATGAGATAAAGAACATAGATTTTGTTGCATTATTCGGACATTTCAATTTAAAAGGACGACAATTTTTTTGGGTGGTAATTAATTAGTAATTATAAACGTTACAGGTTTCAGGTGGCTGATCACAATCTTAGACAACGGTTCACACAATATATATTGAGACTAACCTTTTAATAGAATTGATATTAGCAGAGCGTTACATTATCAGCACTTTTAAAGTTTTTAACTTATTCAACCTTACTCAAGGATTTCAAATTTTACTGTTGACACTTATATATACATATCGCTTAATGAATGTCATTTTATTGTAGATCGATATTTAGCGCTATCATCAATTACACAATCAGTTATATATATATATATATATATATATATATATATATATATATATATATATATATATATATTTAATTCTCTATGTATTCATTATAATAATCATTTTGGCGGTGATCAATAAATAAAATATTAATGACTGAACTAAAAGGCAAAAATGATAATCCTGCGAAAACAAGTTATATAACACATGGTTAAAAAAAACAAGACATTTATTTAATATTACTTTGTTTCTGATTCTGATGTACAATGCTTTCAGAAGACAACTTAGTTTAGAAAATAAACTTTGAAATTTGAGAAAAATTATATTTTGCATGAATAGATATGTAAGTCATTGAAACATCCTAGCAATTCAGTCAATACATCTATAAATAGCTGTCTTGCCTTGAACCCCATTGACATCGACAATTTCCCCCTTTCCATAAAACAGATTCATTCGTATATATATATATTACTCTATTCAGTGGAATAACTCTTTATTAACGTTATTGATTTTGCGTATCTTTTCGTAGTTTCACTGTAACAAGATCATAGAAGCAATAAACAGTGAATTGATTAATGGAAGAAATTACAATCATATTTTTAAAGCTTCATTAACAGTAATGCTATGGACTTAGGTCTCTCTCTCTCTCTCTCTCTCTCTCTCTCTCTCTCTCTCTCTTATCCAGCCATTGCAAGTGGAATAAGAAACAAAACAGAAATAGCCGACGTTGCTCCAAGAAAAACAAGGAAAAAGAAATAGTCCAAAACTCTGGCTGCAACCTTCCAAGTAATATGTTTTGTATCATCCGGGTTCTCTCCAAGTTCGTCTTCTTCCTCCTCTTCATCATCCGGGTTTATTTCCTTGACCTTTTTCGGGGTACAGCACCACTTTTTGCATTTATCACACTTAATAAATGCAATGATGTGGCGTAGGAATTTCGGGCATTCCGAATCCTCATGCTGATGATGAACCCGGAGAATAAGAATAGTGATTATAGTAGATAGAGCACTCAGACACAACATCAGGGTAAGGAAATAACACAGCATAGACATAGGCTCGGACGCTTTCGGCAGATTTTCAGAAACCATTGACAGAAAAACTGCAAAGGTAAGGAAAGCTGTGATAGCATAGCCTACTCGCTCACCAGAGTCTGCAGGAAGTAAAAATACTAGGCCGTTCAAAAGGCTGAGGATAAGTATCGGAATAATCATGTTGATGATGAAGTAACCAGGTTTTCTTTCTAGCTTTAGAACAAAATTGAGGTAGACATTATTGTGCAGAATTAATTTATCCACCACGGTGCTAGCGATTGTCCACTCTACGTTTTCCTGGTAATGAGTCAAATCAACTTCGGTGTTTTCGGTAACCAGGTCTATCTATAATAAAATCGAAAAGTTTTCACATAATTAGAAAATCTCATATAAAACTGCTCTACTCAGGAACAAGTACCTGAAATTTTTAGACGTTGACGATAAACAAAGTGAAAAATTAAAATCTCAAATGAACAATAATATCTAAAAATTGTATTTCAGTTGAAAAAATGAAGCTAATTTCTATTTTACAAAAGTCTTACCTGATCTTGGGTATAGCCCCATGGATTAAAAGTAATGTTACAGGATTGTTTATCAAAAGGATAGTAAGTAATGTCAACCGAACATGCTGTCTTCGACACGATCCCGACCACCCATTCGTGATTCCCATAATTGTCTATGCGAATCCTGTAGCTCTGGTCCCCTAGTTCTTTCAGGGATTCGACAGAATTGGATAGGACAAGTGATGGTTTCCAAAGGTAATCTTGTGGAAGAAGCAGGGACACCATCGGACTTTGAACACTGGACCATATGAGAAGTTGGTTCTCCCACTTGGCCGTTATGTATGCCACCATCTCTATTTGTCCAGCGACTTCGTCGAAGTCCGTGATGGCAATCAGGTAAAATGATAAATCTACCGTAACGTTGTCATTTTGGTTGTTTCGCGGGAAAACTTTCATGTTGTAGGAGTCGTATGGAGCTTGCCCCAACCACGCCTTAAAATCCGAGGGTCCAGGGTTTTGCTGGCAATCTACAGTTAATGATAAACATAAAATAACCAAGCAAGACCCTAGAAATATTTTTCTTTTGATGAATCTCATATTTTCTGTTTTCTTTTTCCTCGTCAGTGTTTCAGTTTTTCATTCACGTTAGAATTATGTTTCGAACTGCACATGCGTTATACAACCTTACATGATAATTAAATCATTGGTCGTTTAAATCAAAACAATGGGCTTAATTGTCAAATATTCAGTTAAATATCTTGCTGACCCTGTTGATCAATGACATGAGCAGATGCATTTCACGTACGCTTTAAATATGTAGCTAAATTCTGGTTTAAATAAAGGAAAAGATGTAGAATTGATTTGTTTGTGTTATTTAAATACATTTTACTTTATCTTGGAAAAATTTCCTCAAATATTGCATATCTGCAATTTCATTGTTTGATCCAAGCATTTCGAGTTTTAGTATTTACCAAAATAAGCATCTATGTTAAGAAGTAAGGCGTAAAGATTGTTTAGAAATTGCAATCTTATACCGAAGTTATGAGATCTGCTGCACCAAAATTATTAGTCTAATTTAAAGATTCCTTACAAAGAGAGAATGTTCCCAAACACAAATCTCATATTTTCTTACAATAAATGAATAAATACATACATGTAAATAAATAATTGAAAATAATTAAAGGTGAAATTTTCATACCCTCTTCTCTACAGTGCAATTCAGATAACCTATAAACATATGAAAAATATCGCAGATATACGTTATAAGGTATGATCAAGTTGTACGTACATTTATTGAGGACTGTATGACTCGCAGCTATTGAAGTTTCACCACGAATTACTCGGAATCATGGAAAAAGGGAAACGAAGCTATGGTGTCTTACTATATATATATAGAGAGAGAGAGTGTGTGTGTGTGTGTGTGTTGAACTTCGGTATCTCGAACACTGATATCTCGAATACCATGGATATGTTGAAGTGATTTGGAAGTCCCAACCGCTTATTCTTTAAGTATTTTACCCTCTATATCTCGAATCCTCGGATATCTCGAAGCTTTTTCTTGGTCCCATCGACTTCGAGATAACAAAGTTATCCTTGAGTGGATCAAGTAGTATAATCTCTTATTAGATGTAAATTCCATGTGAAATTCAGCATCATTTTGGGGGTAAGGTGTCAGAGAAAAGTTTGTCCTTGTTCTCATTAAAAAAGAAACATTTATTTAACTTGTGAATTAACTTGTGAATTTGTAACCTATTCAAATTATAAATTTCACTTCCAAGTACTTTGAAGTAAGATTTTTGTTTGTGTAAACAAAAAAAGAATGCTTAAATACATGTTGGAGGAAAATGTACATAGAGTCAAGTTTTATATATTGTAATCTGCATGTACCTAAATCTAATATGGATAAAGAATATGGCGCAACATGAATAACGAAACACACAAGCTGATATTTTTCTTGCTATTGGTATATTGTTTAATAACTAGAATTTCTCATATGTCCTTACTGTCTTGTAAGAAAACGTCTAATCATAGATGGAATGCCATCGTAAGTGAAGAGGTGATATACCCAGTAGTAAAATATATTAAAATAAATCAAAAACACCGATAAAAACATTGCATTCGATTTTATTATTGTATTTTATTCATCAAATTTTTAAAGGATAAAATAAAATTAAAAAAAAACAAATGTCAAAAACAGAAATGTTAACAAATTAAACTTTTTCCTTCCGTGAAAAGTAAAAAAAATGCTTATGAAGTAGATGATTCTGTTGCCAGTGGCACCAAGAAGAAAACTGTGATAATTACGGTTCCAAGCACAAATAGCGTAAAGAAGAAAATGTCAAGAGTTTTGCCAACTTTTATCCATGTGACATGTGCAGTGTCGTCCTCCTCTTCTTCTTTGGTGTCTTCTGACGATGCTTCAGACTTTTCATCATCGAACCCGGTCTTCCTTTGGAGAGGAGGTGCCATTTCGTCGTCGTCATCATCAAGGTCGTCATTGTCAGCATGGATAGAATTTTTGCTTCCTTTCGATGAACAGAACCATTTCTTAAACTTTTCAAAGTTGAGAAAGCAGACGACGTTCCGCAGCCATTTTGGGACTTCGGAACCTTCATCTTGGTGATAAACCCTGAGAGTCATAATTGTGATGACACAGGACAGGGCACTCATTATTAACATTAAAGTCAAGAAATAACATAGAAGGGACATAGGCTCCGAGGCCTTGGGTAAATTTGCTGAGACCATCGTCAAGAATACAGCAAATGTGAGGAAAGCTGTAATCGCGAACCCGACTCTTTCTCCGGAGTCTGCTGGTAAGAGAAAGACTAGACCGTTAAGAAGTCCAAGAATAAGAATAGGGATGACCATGTTGACAATAAAGTAGCCCGGACGTCTCTTCATTTCTATTTGTAGGTTTAGAAAGGAAGTGCTGCTGACAGATTTTGATACGACAGATGTCTGGACAATTTCCCACTGGACATTCTCCATATAATGAGTCAGATCGATTGTAGTTTCTGTAGACATCAGGTAAATCTGAAAGAGAAAAATTGATTTGAAAAATTCTTTATTAATTATATGTTACTTGCTGCAAATTTTGCAATTTTTGATGAAGGGAATATCTTTACTTTTATGACAAGTGAATATGAAAATATATTGCAAATATCGTATAACATGTAGTAAATATACCTGATTATCATTGAATCCCCAAGGATTTAGTGTAACTTTACAACTTTGTACGTCGAATGGATAATAAGAAACGTCAACTGCACAAGCTGTCTTAGCCACGATCCCCACGGTCCACTCACAGTCTCCATTACTGTCTATCCTGACGGGGTAACTCTTATGCCCCAACTCAAAAAGCGAATTCACAGAATTAGAAACCACCAAAGATGGAAGCCAAAAATTATCTTGTGGTAAGGTAATGGACGGAATATCTGTTGAGGACCATGTTAGAAGTTCCGTATTCCATTTAACCTTCATGTAGCCTGCTGTTTCCATTTGGCCAGCCACTTCATCAAAACCGTTGATGGCGATGAGGTAATATTTGATCTCCACTGTGACATTGTCATTTTGATTCGAGCGCGGAAAAATACGCTTGTTGTAAGACAGATATGGCTCACTACCCAACCAAGTTTTGAATTTTGTTGGAGTGTTGGATAAAACAAGAGTAATACAACAGAATGTTAGAACCACCAAGGAAAAGAAACACTTATCCGCCATTTTGTTGCTTCAATTTTTATGATGTCTTCATTATTAAGGAATCGTTTAAATTACTTGACGCAATTTGGTTCAATGTTTTGTTAAAATGATTCTACCTCGACATTTAATCAAATGTTCATCTTAAAACAAAGGTGTCCAGATTCATGCCGATAAAACTCAAATTTAAATCCTCCTGATCAAACTTCAATTTGTTTCTCAACAATGAATCGCAAACACCTCAGTTCAGTGTTTCATAAATGATATCTTTGATTTGAGGTCTTACATTTTCTATACATGATCTGAGTGTTTTTGGTTAGAATCAAATCTTTGCAATAGTGCCAGTAAATGATTTTTCGGTCCCTCCGTGAAGTTAAGGGAATAAAAGAAATATCGTTCTGACACATATCTTTTGAAAATTAACACAAAAATCATCATAATCTTCAGTATCTGGTTACAATCAAGCAAATTTGGTTAGAAAATTTCGGAAATATAATTTGCTTTTATTATGAAACTCTCTCTCTCTCTCCTTGCATTTTTATGTAGGTTATTTGGAAGATCTGCTCATTTTTTTTCTTCCCTTTGTAATAAGCCGATACACCCCGACTTCCCCTAAATGAGACCTTATGTTAATTTCTATACAGTTTTTTAAGGTAGAAAGTATTGAATAAAATGAATTCTGAACATGTATTTAAAAACTTTTAATGCAGTTCATTATTCCAATCATAAAAAAAATTTGAAATAAGAAAAAGAGATATGCTACGGGGAAAAATAATTCAGAGATGATTGGTGCTTTTTCGTTACACATATTTGTGACATTTAAGTGATAATAAATATATGTATCTAATATATATGTATCTACTGTACATTAAAAATTCGCAGAAATGAATAATCATTTATTAAAACTTTAACGCTAAAATATTACCACCCGCCCAAAAGCTCAAAAAACTCATAGTAATCTAAATGTAAATATGTATGTACATTGATTTTCTTTGATATTTTACTAAGTTAGAATTAAGAAAGAAAGAAAAGAAAAAAAAGAAAGACACGAATTCGAGAATAAATTGATTACAGTTATAAAACTATTAGATCTTTGATCAAACGGTTTACTAAAATTATTAGTTGTTTACAATAATATAGTACATTATTTTATGGTATAGTAGACTTGTAGAGAGTTATTTTATTAAGTGAACCAGAATGCATGCACAATGAATAGCAATGAATATACAGTTTTCATACAATTACAAAGTGAATGTAGTATAAAAATGTATCGTAAAAACAGGAATACAAATTTTAAAAACCCGAAACTTTAGTGTCTGATTGAATTGCAAAATTGTTACATTCTAGTAGATGCAAGAGGAATAAGAAAGGCAATAGAAACTAAGGAAATGAGAGCAAAAAACAAGTATAAGCAGGCGATATCAATAGCCGTGCCCACGTCCGACCACTCCATTTCTTCGTCCTCTTCCGATTCAGCATCACTTGAAGTAGATTCTTCGCTGTCACTGTAGTCCTGAAGGACCGCCATTTTCATAGGAAAGACGCCATTCTTTTGCGTGACCCTTTCCCTCACTTTTGCCCATTTCCCGGCAGCATTTTCAGAGTCCACTTTGATTATTTTGGGTTTCGGCGTTGGTGGCTTTTTGGAGGCTGTCTCTTCTTCCTCCTCTCCTTTTTTCCTGACACAACATCGACAATAAGCAACGGCTACACATCGTTTCACCCATTTCGGTACCGGATCTTCATCATTGCGGATGTAGGCGCGGAGCGATATTATAGTCACAAAGCAGATGAAGGCACTTATCATAAGCATTGTGATCATGAAGTAGGCGAAAATAGACATTGGATTTGATGTCTTCGGAAGATTATCTGATATAATGGTCACGTAAACGGCAAGAGTCAGAAAAACTGTCACGGAATAACCAACCCTTTCACCGGAGTCTGCAGGTAAAATGAAAACCATCAAATTCAGAAAACAAAGAAGTTCTATTGGTAATACAATGTACATTAGAAAGAAACTAGATTTCCTCGCAAGTTGCAGGGTGTACTTTGCAAAACTGGAGTTTCCTTTGGTCTCATGGGAAATGGTTGTAGACTTTATTTCCCAGATATCACTGCCTTGAAATTTTGAAACGTCTACAGCTGTCGAAGTTAGGTTAAAATCTATTTCTGAAGGCCGATACCCCCAAGGAGTGAATAAGATGTCGCATGTCTGGATATCCCATGGATAATTAGACACGTCAACGTTGCAAGCGGTTCTTGTTACGATTCCTGGAAACCACTCCATGTCTGCCTGTGCTCCCGAGCTCAACACTTTTATCCTTACGTAATAATTAGAATCTCCGATTGCGTTTAAAGCATTTACAGAATTGAAAACTGTGATTGGAGGCTTCCACACATCATCCTGTGGTATCAGTACATCTGTAAAGGAGTAAGTTGGAGGAGTTAACGCAGCGGCGACCTTGTAAGGATCAAGGACAATATCGTCTATCCATTTGATTCGAAGAGTCCCAACCAGTTCTAGATGACCCGCGACCTCATCAAAGTCGCTTAAAGAAATCAAACTTAATTCCATATCAACATATATCGTGTCAGATAAAGTGTCTCTTGGAAATATTTCTTTTCGGTAAGTGCAAGAGCTTGTGGTACAGAATGTATCGTTTATCCATGTCCAAATGTGATCTGAATTTAAACAGGAAGCCCCATCTAAAACGGCGGCAAGGATGAAGAAGGCTGGTAGAAGAGCCCCCATTATCGGAACTTTAGGTGTTAAGTTAAATTAATGGACTCAGAAAAGTTTTCAAATCAGAAGTTATTTGAAATTACTTACCATGAAATTCATTGTCACTTTTCAATGCTTTTTGTCATTTTAACTATCTCCTTTGATTTTTTTTGGGTATAAACATACACCAGGTATTTAATCATAACTGCATGATCGCTAAAGTTAAATTAGTTAAAGATAATTTTACGATCAAGACTTATATGGCTCAATAACATCCAGTATATTCTCATACAATTTTAGAAATATTTTGTTACAAAATATTCTGCAAAATATGCCCCAATAAATCAACAATCATATCAACTGTTGTGTTTGATTCATTTTATTGATAACGTAGTCATCACAAGTGATATAAATTATAAATGTATACTTCATTTGATAAACAACAATAAAGCAACGGTATTATATACAGGAGAATCGACTATTCAGTGTTTACTTTGTAAAACAAATACTTTTTTAAAACGTACAAACGTTTGATAATCATTAATTTCCTCTACTGATAAACACTGTTCACAATAAATAAAAACAATAGCATCTATGATAGTATCTATGCAATAGATGTGTCCAATTTCATGAAAAGAGGAACCAAAAAATAGGATGAGACTGCAATAGTTCCAGTGGAAAACAAGAGAAAAAAGAACTTGTCCAGGGTTTTGCCTACCACTCTCCAGGAGACCCCAAATCTGTATTTTTCGACACTGTCATCCGCTTCCCCCTCGCCTTCATTATTGGGGCTAGTTATCACAGGATCAGCAATTTCGTCTTCCAGTGGCATCTTCTCAAATGTTTCATGATGAAGCCCCATCATTCGGTAGCGCTTTCGACAAACTCGACAAGTGACAAAGGCGACAATATATACAAGTATAGGAGGGACTTTCTCATTTGGGTCATATATGGATACCTGAATCGTAAAAATGGCAATAAGGGTAGTTATACTGCTCACAGACAACATGGCTGCCACATAGTAACTCATTATCGAAAGTGGATTTGACACTGGAAGTTCGCCGGAGAGTATTGTCAGATATACAGCGAAAGTCAGGAAAACGTTTGTTGCAAAGCCAACTCGTTCACCAGAATCAATGGGTAGAACAAAACAGAGACTGTTAAGCATGCCAAGTAATACGATGGGCACCATCATGTTGATGATGAAGAAGACGGGTCTCCTCTTCAGAGTCAGGTGATAGCTAATCAGAGAGCGATTGGCGGCCACGTAAATTTCTTGTGTACTATCTATTACAGCCCATTCCTCGTTTTCTATGAAGTCTTCGATATTGATATTGTCCTCGTCAGTCTGGATGGATACTTCATTATTAGAATACCCCCAAGGAGTGAAAGTAATCGTGCAATACTGTGTATCAAATGGGTAATCTGAGGCCACTACAGTACATCCAGTCTTTGTTACTACACCAATCTCCCACTGTACATAACCATTGGTCAGAGTGATGGTCACCTCATAACCAGAATGCCCTACTGGAGTTAAAGATTCCACAGAATTGAAAACAGTTATTGGAGGAAGCCAAATGTCATTTTGAGGAATATCTAATGCTTCGAGAACATGTTTTTGAGGAGTGTACTTTTCAATAACATAATGGTCAAACCAAGCCATTTTCAACCGTCCTATAACCTTAAGCGTTCCTCCAAGTTCGTCAAATTCAGGAATCGAATACAGTGCAAATTTCATGTTGACGTTGATTGTCGCTAACTGATCTTTGTGAGGGAAAACCAGATTGCTGTACTCCTTATTATTTGTGAACAAGTCTCTGAAAAGCAGTTTCACGTGGTCCAGATTAGGAATAGGCATGGATTCACACACGGAACATGAAGTTTTTACCTGCTGTGCAGGTGTTGTTGTAGATTTTGTTCCAAAAACCAGAGTCAACAAAATGAGAATTCTTATTAGTATTCCACGACATTCCATTTTCCTACTTTCAAAATCCTAACGTCTTTTTGGTTAATACCCCCTCTTTACTCTGTAGCTGTAATGTCCGCCATTACTGTTCGTTTTAAATGCTTCAAATTGAAATTCTGTACAACCCGAACGATAATACAGAATTCTGTAAGAGGTGCCAATTAAGCCGTCATATAGTTAGGTTCAAAGATGAAGAGATACGCTTTGATATGGACAATGTATTGTTTCGTGATATTTAATTAAAGTCTTTATCATTATATGTCAGGCACAGAACTCGGAACATGGGAAGCCACGTAGTTGTCACGAGCATTCTGAACGCGTCACACTCTGTACTGAATATAAAGAAACCTAACAAATGCTTATCTAATTATTGACTTTATATTGGCAGAAGTAGATTTGTCTTCGGTGATACAATGTAGTTTAAAAAATGTAAACATCATTTCTTCACAGATTTTTTTTAAATACCAGTATTTGCAGAGAACCTTTTCGAAATAAAAAGTTAAGTTGAAAAATTAGATAAATTAGAGAGTGAGCAGTTGTTCATTATTAAAGGGAAAATGCAAATCATTTGGAAATAATTTTGTTCTCAAGATTATGGCTTATTTCTTACTTGTCAAATAGTTTTCAGAATTCAAACATAAATATGAAAGGCAAATATGATAATGAAATATCCAGCATTTTAGTTGGGGTTGAATTCGGAAGGTTCATTCTAAAAGAATTTTTAGATTAACATATCTTCAATAATTTTATCGGCCAGACTTCTAACCACAATAAAGTACATATTTCTATCTAATATGTACGTAAGGGGGTCTACACGTCTTAATACATGTACCTTAGATTCAGATACTATGTTCGAAGTGAACTTTTACACATGAATTGGAACGATCAAAACAAAGTTAAAAATTAATAAATGAGACGTTCATTTGTAATTTTTAGATTCAAGAAGACATCAAGGTAATTTTTAGTTAAAGGTTGTCATTGATCAGAAAAATGTTAGTAAGTACACTGTAGTTGCAGTGTACTTGCAGTGTAGTTGCATTGTGAATTCAAGAGTAAATGCGTACAAAATCAGTTTTTCTTTTCAAATGATTGCTGCAAATTATACTTATGTACGTGCAAGTTACATTCTAGATATATTTCGAGAGAATACCTTGATAAATACCTCTTTTTTGCAGGATAGTATGTTTAATATTCTCGACTTCATTGAAGTTCTTGCAATACTTACGAATATGCTGTTACATGTGTAGCCATAATATAAAATTGATTAATTCGATTTGGATTTTTTATTATGTTTTGTGTTCAACAGGACTTGACTATTCCTCGCTATGCTATAATATGTCTGCAATAATGGTTTCATTGTATAAACTACGTAGAAATGCATCTGATGACACACATTATCTTATAGAAAAGATCTAAAAAACTTGCACCAATCAATCAATCAATCAATTTTATTTAAGTATTCAAGGCCATAGGCCTAAAGTACAATGCATTTTAAGCCACACGTGTTTATATTTTTTAGGTTCAAGCATACAGTGTAATACATAATATTGCAAATCATCTAAAGTGAAACAAGTATATTACATCACAACCTGAGACTTCATAAAGCTCTCTTTATTTCCGAAAAGCTAGAAAAACATAATTTGCCAAGGCATTTAAGACATTATTTCTTCCATTTGGAAATATATATTTTTTGTATCTTCTAAAGAGACGAGATTTTTAAAAATATTATACAAGGTTTTCTTATTTCAATAATTCAATAAATTCTAAAAGTTCACAATTTCAATAATCTGAATTCCATTTTCAACTCATAATATACCTTTTTCTTTTGAACAATCTAGAAATTTGCTCTAATTGCTGTCCTTAATATCAAAATAAGAAAAGAATAGAATTCTTCAATCTACACGTATACGTTATAATGAAGAATTATTATTTAATTGAGGAGGCAGAAGACAGTACATGACACCTGAGGAGGCAGAAGACAGTATATGACACCTGCTTTATGATCAGAGATGACTGATCAGTCAACAGTGTGAGAATAAAGAAGAGTTTGAAATTGTCTGTTTTGGGATGTTGACAAGTCATTCAACAGTCAAGTCACATCAACTCATATCATTTGTAATGCTACACTGCACATGTACATCATGCACAGACCAAAAATGCTTCTTGACTAGGTTTGTATCCTTGTGTTTTCACCTATAATAGAATTGGGGCAAATCTGCAAACAACTCGTATATGGCAGTTCCTTGCTAACAATTGTTAAAAAAAATAAAAAAAAATAATAACAATAAAAAAAGAAAGAAAAAAATATAAATCTTTTCTTACATTAGAAGGAAACGGTATAGAACCGCGATATGAAGCTATAAAATGAAACATTCTGGGCCTTATAGTTTTTCTCAGCGTTTCTTTAGCTATTCTCTCGGAAGAAAAATACTAATTCCCTTCACACTCAAGCGCTTTGCTCAATTTTTGGAAATTTACTGATCCTGAAACATTATTTATATCTGCAAAATTTCACACAAAAATGTATCCTATGACCTTCACTGTTCCATGTGCACGCCCGTGCCACTTTTAAAGGTGTTTGCTAGGACGTAAAGCCTGAAAATATTATCCGTCATTTTGCTATTTTGAAAAGCTAGATTTTGTGAGAATTTAGCATGCCTATGGCTCCCGAAACCTGGGTAATTCAGAGACTAGCATTGTATTGTTATTATCGTTAGTATTACTTACACAATAACAAGTTGATGAAAATAATTTCATGAACAAATATTTTGTAAACAAATGCAACTGTTTATTGACATAAAAGTTTTTGAAAACGGGACTTTTTACAAATGTTACATACATGTACATATAAAATATATATTGCATGTTTATCCCATGCACCATCTAATATTTTGATTTCTTACCAAAGCAGAAATTCAAACGAAAATTTTAATGTTAAAGTTCACATCTGAGCAGCTAATGGAACCAAAAACACAATTGCAATGGCCACACTACCTGCCATAATAGCAATCAGAGAAAATATATCCAATGTACTAGCCACAAGTTTCCAGTCTACGTCGTATCGATTTTCAGGATGTTCATCACTGTCGAGACTTTCATTGTCCACCTCAATTCTGGATCTTGGAGTCTTGGCTGACCCTCCTCTCCTCGTCCGTAATTCCAGTGCATTTGCACCTAATAACGGCGTTTCATCATCTTCATCTTCCTCTTTCGTGCAGACTAAACAATTCAGAAATGCAATGAAGTAGACTAAACAACCTGGAATAGGATCGTCTTCTTCTTTTAAGAATATACGAAGAGTGAAAACGGTAATAATAGTAGCTGCTGCGCTTACAACGACCATTGACATCAGGTAGTAGCTGAGGATGGCCATTGGTTCGGATGTCCTTGGCATTCCCTCTGCAATTAAGGTCAAGTACACTGCAAAGGTAAGGAACCCTGTTACGGAGTACCCTACTCTCTCTCCACTCTCCAAAGGCAGGATGAACACTAAAGCAGTCAAAATACCCAAAATGATAATTGGCAGGAAGAAGTTAACCATATAGTAAGTCGGCTTTCGTTCTAATGTTATTTCTATTTTCACAAACGAACCACCATCAACTGTTTCCTCAATCAGCCTTGACTGCGTAATACTCCACTCGTCCGACGGTGAATAATCTGTCAAATCTAAAGTGGATGTGGATGGTTCGAATTTTACTTGTTTGTCAGTAAAACCCCAGTGGGTGAATGTAATGTTACAGGTTTGCCTATCGAAAGGAAAATATGCCACATCTACTACGCATCCCGTTTTTGTAATCACACCTGGTCTCCATTCCATTTTACCATGTCGATTATACGGATTACTTGAATCATCGACCCTGTACATTCGGACATAATTAGAAGGATCGCCTACCGGCTCAATAGCTGAAGCAGAGTTAAACAGGGAAACTGGCGGTTTCCAGAGAAATTCATTAGGTATAGCGATCTCTGTAAATGGTCCATGATCACTACTGCTGTAAGAGTCATCTACTAACTCATCATACCAAGTTATTGTCAAAATCCCAATTACCTCCAAAGTTCCAGCTACTTCATCAAAGTCAGTGATTGCGATTAAGCTAAAACCAATGTCTACTAAAATCGTTTCACTAAAATTTTTTCTCGGAAAAATTAAATTGTTGTAAGAAGCTGTGGAAGCCGTAAAAGTGTCCACGATGAAAGATGACATTTGTGAAGCTGAGGAATACTGTCGCGTGGGGACTGCTGTGGTAGTTTCCGCTGTTGTGGCTTCTGTGGTGCCCCCAGGTGATCCTCCTGGACTCGGGCAGGAGGGATCTGTTCCTCCTTTATTCTGTCCCGGGGCACAACCCTTTCCAGAACTATGAACGTATTCAATTGCGAATAGAACCCACAGAAAGAAAATAAAGTGTAAAACCGACATTTTCCCTAATCGGTTTGAAACACAAGAAATCAAGAAATGGGATGTCTGTTTGAAGGCCTGTTTATTTCGTCAATCTTTTGCATCAATTTCCACCTATTAAGGGGACATTTAAACTATTCAGAACATTTCAGATGCAATCAGCACTAATAAATGATTGCTCAATCGTATACAATTCGATATGTTTTGAAATGCTTGTGTTTGTTCTTTTGGAAATGAAGTTTGTCTAAGTTTCAAAAAAAAAAAAAAAAAAAAAAGAACAAAGGAAATTATTTAATGAGAATGAACACGACAGCCTTTTAACGTTTTTTTTTTCTTACCGCAAGACACAAAATCGCTTTTTAAAATAAAGTACAGTTATGAGTTATTTGGCCACATATATTTAAATTCATATTTTTCCTCACAATGAACAGAGCATGTTTTTGTCTCTAATTTTATTATTTATTCTAAAATATGTAAAGCCTTAGAAAGATTTTTTGTCTTTTTATGCCTAACATGCCCCAAAGAGTATTTTGACATCATTACTTTATCGATATTTCAAAATAAAAAGAACATTTATGATTCATGATATTTATTTCTGTAGTAAAGCATACTTAAAAAAATAACACTTATATAAAATACATAAAATATTGTTGACTCAAAAACCAGGTACAGATATACGAGTATATTTACGTCCCTGTGAAAACAAAGTGCATGGAGACATTGTAATGCATAAAAATCATAGTGGTTGTTCATCGTAAAAGAATATCGTGCAAAATCATATATCATATCAAATCTAATAACATTGTCACATGTATGAAATAGATTTATCATTTAAACAAATACATACAATATACAATTATATGAAAAACAATTACCGGTAAAACTCACAGGGAATAGTAACCATTGATCAGTATATTTAGTACTGAACGTAAATTGGTAAAAGAAATACAAAAGCAAGAATTGTATGTGTAGCGATCGTACCAAAGAAGAAAAAATAATCAAGTGATCTGGCTACCATTTTCCATCCAACCCGCGGTATTGTGATTGGGCCGAGTTTATCTGCATCTTCCTCGTCATCTCTGTCAGCATCTATTGGTTTCCACTTGATATTCGGGACGCCGAATTTGACGCTAGAAGACAGACTCTCTGGTTTCATATGTTCTCTCTGTGGTGGTTCATTTTCGCTGTCGATTTCCGTGGTGTTACCGATTTCCTTAACAACAGGTTCTTCCGGTTTATAAATGTCATCAAATTCATCCTTTGCACAGAATCTACAGCAGATGAAACCAATAAAGAGAGCAAGACATGTTGGAACTCTAGCATACTCATCTTTAAGGTACAACCGCACGGTAAATACCGAAATGCAGGAAACGCTTCCACTCATAATAACTTGAATCACGATGTATATTGTCAAATACGACATAGGATCTGAAGCCTTCGGCAAACTGTCGATAATATAAGACAAATAGACAGAAAATGTCAGAAATGATCCCAAAGCGTATCCAACACGGCCCTCTTCGATTGGGAGCAGAAAAACAAAAGTTGTCAGAAGTCCTAACAACCCAATAGGTGCTGCCATATTAATGATAAACCAAAGCGGAATTCGCCGTATTATCAAAGTAAATGTTACATACGAATTTCGATCTCTTTCCCAGATTAGGACCTCTGAGTCCATTAATTCCCATTGTTCACTTGGGGCGTAAAAATCTAAATTTACTTTTGAGTCCGGAGCAGTTAATAAGATCTCTGAAGATATATGATCCCAGGCGCGAAAAGTCAAGTTACATTTCTGAGTATCAAAAGGAAAATAAAGAGGATTTGTAGAGCACGAAGAAGACAGAATAACTGCAGGTCGCCAAATGTGTGTCCCAGAAAATTTTGCCCAGACTAAATCCTTGTTTGATCCAAGCTCTGCAAGTGAAGTGACGGAGTTAGCAAGTGTTATTGGTGGATGCCAAAGATCCGTGAGCGGAATCATGGTGTCTGGAATAGGAGCAGACATTCCGCGTGGTTTCTCAGCCCATGCTGCAAGTTCATTTTCCCACTCTACTTCTAAAAATCCAACCGTCTTCAAAACTCCTGAAATTTCGTCAAAATTGTTGATGGCGTTGAGGTAATAAGTAAGTTTTACAGTAACATTGTCGGATTGTTCTTCTCTGGGGAAGATATTCTTATTGTATGAGCTGAAAATGTTTCTGTAGAACAGGATCCAGTCAGATGAAATATCCCCACAAACATAATGAATGACGGAAATCGCTAAAAAAGCAAATAACAACTTTGTCACCGCCATTACTTGCGTTCGTAACAATACTTAACTCTGTATATTCCGCTCTGGTCGTCTTTGGTACCTTTAATTAATATCATTCATTTGATCAGCCAAGATTCAGAATAAAAGAGCATGAACCGTTGTTAATTTGTCAGCCGAACATTTAAATTGTTCATTCATTTGATTTTCATAATTATATTGTAATCACAAAGCTAGAATATTGTGTTAGATATCAAAATTCACCAGTTCACTTCTCTTCAATATAATTTTTCCAATATACGTTCATAAATAAATAATTATCTAAAAGAAATTGAATATGTCGAAATAATTTGTTTAGGACGTATATTTTGAACGGAAAAAGGGTTCAGCAATCTCCTTTGAAAATGTTATCATTGCTACGTACAAAAATAACTAGCAAATACATAAGAATCGCAAAAAGGAATGTATTACTCTACATAAAACATACTGGTTTCAGAGTTTGGTTCATGTAAAAAAAATCGTCACTGCTACCTGCAAACATAACTAGCAAATGCATAACAATCGCCAAAAGGAATCAAGCATAATGTTTCAAAAAACATTTATTACATGCAGGTAAGTTTGTTTCATGTAAAAAAAATATTTGTATATTAAGTAGCACTAATAATTTGTTTCAAAAGTTCATAAATCAATGAATAAATAAATTAATAAACAATAACAATATTTGTTCAAAAGAAGAAAATTATATACATGTATATATTATATATTTATATGCATTGAATTCTCGGGAGTGAAAAACCCTTCAAATCTGAAAATATGTACAAGTTCATACAAGCTTGATTTTAAAGTGAAAGTGGTTTTACATGTATACAACGTGTATTCATATATTTCGTTGATTATGAGTGCAAAGTGTTTGAATTGTTGCTGACATGTGAGTTTTTTAATAGTTTAAAATGTATAATATATTGGGGAAACATCTACTTTTTTCATTGACGACTTTGCTGTTTAACACGCACACTAATGCTGACTTATATATACAATCGTCAGCTAAAAAAGACCTTTATTTCTTAATTAAATTGCTATGTAATAAAATGAAAATTACAGTGATGTATTTATCATAACTTCGCTCTTTTTGACGTTATATCTAGTTACATTCTAGTTTTATGCGGCATTGGCCAAAGGAACGAGGAACATCATGTAGATAGCAATGTTGAGAATGATAAAGACAAAGAAGAAAAAGATATCAAGGGTACTCCCAAGCGTCTTCCACGAGACTTTTGGCTCCGGTTTCTCTTTAAATTCTGGATTATCGTTGTCATCTCCCTTTCTCTTCATCTTAAATTCTTTGACAAATACCGAGACAGAGTGAAGCTGGTAGCGTTTCCTGTAGAAAGTGTAACCTTTTGGTGGCTTTTCATCCTGAACGCTTTTACCTCGACAGGGATAACACCAGAGGACAGACAGAAATTTCTTAAGTGAATTAGGAAGAGGCATCTTTCCGTGCCGATGGTAGATTTTTAAAGTTAAAATAGACTCCAGTGTGCAAAGTGCTCCAAGCATAAGCTGCCAAATGATGAAATAGGCCAACAGAGACATGGGATTTGATGACTTTGGAAGAACGTCTGCTATAACAGTCAAAAAGACACCGATTGAGAGGAATCCTGTTATGATAAATCCTACCCTTCCTTGGTCAAATGGCATCACAAAGACAAACCCATTCAGAAGTCCTATGAGAATAATGGGAAGAACCATATTTAAGATAAAGTACTGTGGACGCCGCTTTAGTGTCAGTTTGAAAGAGACCTCTGTGAAAACTCCGGAAGTATTTTTCACTGTTGTTTCCGTCAAATCCCATTCGGAACTCTTTTGTAGTAGAGATATATCAACCATTGTAGCATTTGGCATCAGATGCACTAGGTCACTTGTGTACTGCCAAGGAAGAAAGGTTACTGTACACTCCTGTGTATCAAATGGGTAGTAACTCACGTCAATAGCACAACCACTTTCAATGACAAGCCCTGGCCTCCAATTCACAGTTCCATCTTTAAGGATAGTAACAGGGTCATCAGAGGCGCCGAGCTCGGAGAGAGAGCTCACTGACGTGTATAAAGTCACAGCTGGAGTCCAGATATCTTTATGGGACATCATCAGCTGATCAACACTTCCGGTGTTCCATGCTATGAGATCATCCCTCCATGTCACATCTAGATATCCAACTAAATATAGTGTCCCGCCAATCTCATCTAGTCCAGTTATGGCGGTCAGTCCAAACTTAATGTACACATCAACAACATCGCTTTGTGTTGCCCTTGGACGGATGCGTTTGTCGTAATTAGTGAATGTATTAGAAGCGAGCAGAGTTGTGACATCTGAGTTAGTCCATGCAGCTGAACTGAGAGTGACCATGCCAAGATACACAAAAACTAAAGTCATCTTTACATTTAATTGGAAAGAAATCATTTCGACTTTTTGCAACGACTCCCCTTACTGTTCTTGCTCAAAATTAACTTTTCGTTTGATTAACGAAGTATGAATCGTCATTTAATGTATCAATTTCATTTTTAGGGCATTACAAAAGACATTACAAAATAATTATTCAATTGAAACCTAATGAAACGGCAGATTGACTGTCATCGCTTTGACACGGTTTAATTCATGAGAAGGCATGACATGTCTAAAGATATAAATATTTGAAAAAAAATAGAACGTTCACCATCTTTTTTACGACTTTTGGTCAAACTATTAAATATCATCAAAATAGATACAAATCTTATGTTATATCAGTAAAAGAAATAAGACAAGCCACATTTTTTTTTCAAGATTTCTAAATAACGTCATAAAGTACTCAGTAATAAAAAATTGTTTAGATTAAGAAATTTATAAGGGAACTGCAGAATGCAATATATGGAGATAACGAACAGTATTCAGGCTCAAAAGTCCATCAAACAATACAAAATAGGAGCAGAGCAAACACGGACCTCCAAACATCAGAGGTGGGATCAGGTGCCATGGAGGAGTGAGCATCCTCTGCCGACCGGTCACACCCGCCGTGTGCTCCTTGTCATGATCGGGAAATAACGGAAAAATCCGTCGACAATTCAGTGTGTAATTAATGGCCTAACAATTTGTATGAAAAAAGTCAGTCAGCATTTGACTCAATGATAAATTGTATTTGCTGACAAGGTCATTGTATCGACCATAGAACTTACGAAATGATGACTTTAAACGAGACAGCTGATATTCTTGTTTCATCAACTTATTTGTCAATAATTTACCTCGTTTTAGAAATTGTACATACGTAGAGCATGCTCTTGCGTATCGAATCAACTGAGAGATATATACCCCGTATGCAGGTGATGAAGGTATATTGCTGCATAAGTAAGGGAAGTTGACGATTGAAAAGTTAGTCATCACGTTTATCATAAAGCTTGGTTGTTAGATTACCATTAACGTCTTTTTCAAGTAAAATATCCAAATATGAAACAGATGTGTCAGAATGCGAGATATTATATTATACAGTATAGAAAATTTCAACATTATTAGTTTAGGAAATTTATATTTACATCTTTACAAATAAAATAAAATCCGTAAATATATACCAGTCCATGCATCATTTTTTTTATTTGAAGCAAGTGTCCTTAAAGGTTTTTTTAAACAGAACTTTTACATTACCAAATAGAGATTCGTTCCGTTATCTTTTTGTTACCAGTTTTTTAAAAAATAAAACAAACTACTAACTTCGTGAATTAAGACTTCTTTTACCTGAATATTTATGTTTTACTAAGTGAATTAAATGTTATACAATAAAAGGTTCATACGTGAAGTGTAGTACTTAATGAGAATAATATTTATTGAGTTTAAAGTCATTACATGTATTTGCCCAATAAACAGGTATACATTCAAAGAGATTTATAAGATAGTAAATAAAAGGTTGTGTTAATATGAAAATATAACACAATTTCAAGTAACAGTATAATAGTAAATAAACAACAGTAAACAAACACTTCAGCACTTTATGAGTTAGCTGGGAAAAACGTTACACAAACGCCAGAGGAAGTAAAAAGAAGCAAGACAATCCAAGGGTTATCCAGAATGTTATAAAACAGAAGAGATAGTCAAGGGACGCTGCAACATAATGCCAGTCAATGACGTCATCTTCCTCGTCGTCATCATCTTCGGAAACGCTTTCAATCGAAAAGTTATTAATCGGGGTGTTTTCAGGAAAAGCTATAGGAATCTTCTCATTTTTGACGTCCATCTCTTGCAGTTCCATGTCAAATAGTGTGTTCTGTCGCGACCCAATTCCAACTTTTGTGTTTGTTGGACCAATAGGTTTTTTAATGTTGTCCTTTGGACTTGGTGTGCGCGATGGAGCTACAGATCCTGCTTTGCGTTCTCCTTTTCCACATTTACAATGCATGCAGGTGGAGAGTTTGACAAGCCACTGAGGAATCGGTGCCTCTTCGTCCTTGTGGTAAACGTACAAAGACATTATGATCATCAGGGTTGTCACAGCTCCCAAAACCACCATGGAGATAAGATAATTAGAGAGCTTGGCAGTGGAGTCAGTGGATTTTGGAAGTGTAGCTGTTATGATATCAAGGTAAACTGCAAACGTAAGGAAAATGGTTACAGAATAACCCACTCTCTCACCGCACTCGGATGGCAGCAAGAAAACTAAAATGTTCAGCAGCGCAACTACAACAATTGGCATAACCAGGTTGACGAAAAAATAACCGGGGCTTCTTTTAAGGTTTATAGTGATTGTGAGGTACGAGGCATTGTTTTTCGTGCTCGATGTCAGTGATGATGACAAAAATGTCCATTCTGTGCTCTCTGAATAATGTGTTTGGTCGACTGTTGTTGACATAGGTGATAAAGTTACCTCTGAGCTTGTTGTTCCCCATGGTGTGAAAATAAGTTCACACGAATGACTATCAAAAGGAAAGTTAGTGACGTCAACAGAACAAGCCGATGATGCAACTAATCCAATTATCCATTCATGCTTCCCATCTCCATCGATTCTAATACGATACGAACTGTCACCAACCTCGGTCAACGAAGTTGCAGAATTGTCCAAAACTAATGATGGTCGCCAAAACGTGTTCTGGGGAAACAAAAGTCCCCCAAGACCATTCCAGTCAGTAGATGTATTGAATATCAGAAGATCATTATACCATGTTGCAGTCAGTATCCCAACAATTTCCAGAGTTCCGCCTGCAGCGTCCAGTCCATTGATGGCCACTGCGCTGTAGGATAACTTTACGTCCAGAGCTTTTGATTGGTCAGTAATGGGACGGATCCTTTTTTCATAATAACTGTACACGGAAGTCTTGATAAAAGATTCAAATTTCTCTTGATAAAGTGCTCCCTCGGTTACATAGAATAGACAGGTAAGTAACATGTACAAAGAAACCGGGAAAATCTTCATTTTTCTCCGAAGGAAATACACGCTTAAATGTTCACATTTAATTGTAAAAAATGTATAGCCTGCTTAACAAGAGATTTAAATATCAACAAAACATTTGTACTTTTTATTGTCTTGTCGCATATCCTTTCATTTTGTATTCAAATTTTAAAACACCTCCAGTGTGTAAGCGTGACAATGCACGAAGCATTTTGTTAAAAAGAGAAAAAAAAATATTAATCAAACGCAATATACAACCAAAAATTATAGCTACCCAAATTGTACTGGCAACCTGGGTTGGGCCACTGTTCAAACCCAGGTTATACAAGTATAACTTGGGTAGCTATATATATATATATATATATTTATCCCATGTTTACCCCTTTATCCCGTGGATATGACTCATTGGATAAATTTTTCATAATCCACAGTTGTTACGTCACAATGGTTTTTGCGTTAGTGCGATGAAGTAAAATAAAGTGGAGTCCTATATAAAACAGTGTAAAACATTGGTTGTGAAGTATTAAACATGGGATAAAAAGAATCTCCCATGATTTGTAGTTGGATATGACTTTTATCCAACTCGTTGTGTGTTTCATCCCCTCGCCAAGGTTCGGGGATAAAAAACACACAACTCGTTGGATAAAAATCATATCCAACTACAAATCATGGGAGATCCTATATATATATATATATATATATATATATATATATATATATATATATATATATATATATATATGATTTGGAGTTAAAATTAGTTTTTTTCCTTTCAAAATGCCTTCAAGACTGAAGTTGTACAAATTAAATGTAACATCAAGCGGATTGATACGTTTTTGACGTTAGACATGTGCAATGTGACGTGGGCAATACAGGTTAAACGATATAAATGATTTTATTTTCTATCCAATCAAATAGCACGTTACGACCAGAATTGAATTATGATTAAATTTTTCAATTCTACATGAACAATTAAAATTGATGCAAAGCATCATGCAAATCGGCCGCAAATATGTTTAGCATTTTAAAGTATAAACTTTCCATATGAAAGTGTCCGAAGGAAGTAAATTTCAAAGTAGGAAAAGCCGTGTATGATCATTTTTCTCTCAAAACGGTAAACTTATTTTACTTTTCTGTGCGTTTTTTAATACTTAATTTTTTAGTGAATTGTTAGCTATTAAATAAAAATTAAATCAAGTCATAGATATCGTATAATGTGGAAATCGGAGATAAAGAATAGGTTTATATCATCATCAAATTATTTGTTACATGTTGAAGAAGACAAGTATAACATATATAAAATAATAGATTATGAATGTCTCAATGATTCCTGACAAAAAGGTGCTGTATGATACCCTGAATCTTTGTCACGTGATAATGCTGATGTTTCCATTGTGATAGACGTGTATCACAATAGATGCGAAGTGCAGAAAAAAAAATATCATTGTGTTATTTGCAACTGTAGTGTTTTCAAAACAAAATTTACTTCTAAAATTTTTCAATATTTATTAATCATATTGGCAGTGTAATTAATATTTGGAGAACTCATTACGTTTTCTGTTTATATTTTGCACTCCCATACCGGGGAGCAGTTCATGTAACAACTTTTTGTAAAATCGTAAATTAATAAATATTTGATGAGAAATGGAAAACAATTTGAAACGTAATTACAAACACTTAAACTCAGTATTAAGCAAATTTTAAAAACTTAATTTTATTCATATCTTTTGTGTATGTTATCAATAAGGAATTATTCCATGTATCGAACTAATGAAAAAATAACGTCTCATTTCCCCATGTGCATATTACATCGGCAGCTTCTGCCGCAGATAATAAAAGGTATGTGACAGGCGCGGATCCATGAATTTCTTAAATCTGTGCCCTGTATACTGTATGATCAATTTTTTCCTTCTTATTTTTGGAACTGTATTTGAAAAAGACAGATCCGCTTCTTTTTCTAGTGTTTAAAACACATTTTCTTATTCTCAGAATTTCAAGATCTAAGTGTATTAAATCCTTTAAATGTTCAGATCAATAGGTGATTGAGATTATGCACTGACTCACATTTCACAATACCCCCTGTACGTCATATGACGTTCTTTGTAAGGAAGACATTTCAAGGTTTATTTGCATATTTATTCATTTATAAGTAAAGATTCCTTAATAAACAAATTATAAAGGCTCATTAGTAATTTTTTTTTGTAATTTTTCATTAGTTTTTCAAATGGGAGTATGATTACATTAATTTCTGAATTGTGTATATACTCGGAATCCCCTCTTCCCTTTCCACTCCAAAGGGAAAGTATAGTAGGTCTTCATATTGTAGTTCACAGCTGATATTCAGTAGACTTAAGGTTTAACTCAGTATTGATATTCCTGTTCCTTTTTTGAGTAGTGTGCAAAGTCAAGTTATTTGCATTTTTGCAAAAAGAATCCATTTGCCAGTTTTTCTTTTTTTTTTTGGGGGGGGGGGGGGACCCAATTAGAATGAATATTTTTTTTAATATATATATAACCCCCCACCCCCCGAATTATATCTGAAACTAACACACTATAAAAGAAAATAACATACTGCATGCTGCTTAAAGATTTATTTTTAATCTTACAAAGGAAAATATGATCAAATCATGTTCGATTTAAGTTTTCACATATGTATATGAACAAATTTGTGGAATTATATCAAAAGGTCCATTCTAGACTTAAGAACCGTTGCTGGAAAGGGGGACAATGAATACAACTGTACATATCAAGTTAACTAACACAAAAACGATAAAGAAAAGAATATCTAATGCCAGTCCCACTAGACGATACGATATATTATCAGTCGGGGCAAATACTTCCGGTTTCTTGTTTTTGTTCTTTTTCTCTGGAGCAGCCCAGCCCGCCATTTCCTCATCAGAAACCTGTTTCTTTGGAAAACAGTACCTTGCTAAGATTATGGCAACGATTATTTTCAGCCAACGAGGAACTTCAGTTGATTTGTCGTAGATTCGCAACGTCATGATGGTGACTATTGTAGAAGCAGACGACAGGTACACCATGACAGTAAGAAAGTAGACAACTAGAGCCATCGGGTTCGAAGTATGAGGTAAATTGGAGGAAATCATGTCGAGGAAGAAAGCGAAAGTCAGAAATGCCGTGATGATGTATCCGACCCTCTCTCCGTCATCAACTGGCATAAGGAAGACGAGACCCGTCAACAAACCGATAAGAATGATGGGTAATACCATATTGAGAAGGAACCATGTTGGTTGTCGCTCGAGAGTAACGGAAAACGTAATGAAAGAGTTACCTCCCTTAGAGGAATTTGAAATCTGGGATCCTGCAAGTGACCACTGTTCATTCTGAGTAAATAAACTCAAATCCAGTACTTGGTCTCTTGAAAAAAGATGTACTTCGGACTCGTGATATCCCCAGTTAGTAAAGGTGATATCGCAGGTTTGTTTGTCAAAGGGAAAGTAGGTAGCATCGACGGAACAACTGGTTTTTGTTATCACTCCCGGGATCCACTGAACCCACCCGATGGCGGGAAGAATTCGAACATGGTAAGAGGAGTCTCCTACCATCTTTAACGATTCAACAGAGTTGTACACGGTGATCGTTGGAAGCCATATGTCGTCCTGAGGTACCAAGATTTCCGTTATGGAGGAATAAGTTGGAGTGTATAATCTCTGCAAGTTCTCGTCAGTCCATGAGATTTTAAGCTTAGCGACAAGTTCTAGGATACCGGAAACTTCATCAAATCCGTTGATAGAAATAAGTTGAAGGCCCATCATCACTGAAACCTGTCCGAAATTTTTGTACTTTGGAAATATGTTTTTGTTGTAATTGCTTCCCAGATCTGTAAGATACGATTTCACTGTTGAGCTTGTCAAAGAACTTTCCAAGACCGGGAGACTGAAAATTGCACATGTTGCCACCATCCATGTAATCCCAAAACATGACATCATAAGGCTCCAGTCCTACTTAATTTGCAGAAAGTGTATCTTGTATGGAATCTTTAGCTCAAATTTTAAAACATTTTATGGTATATTATTCGGTGTAAAGTCGTCTGCTTCTTTCTGGTTTTTGATGTTTCATTAGGTCAGTGCACCAATGATTAAGTTTACTTTGAACTTATTAATCTTTTGTTCTTTTTGATATATAGAACAATAATATTGTTCTCGATAATATCAAATTACACAAGAAATTTAAACTTTCTATGGAAGGTCACAAAGAAGTCAGTATGCATGATTTATTCACTCAATTTCTTTCATTTGTGATGTAATATTTAAAGTCATTGGTGAAGAATTAAACTTGTCGAAAATTAAGATTAATTGTTTTTTATTTTTAAGGTTTAAACGCGTGTATGTTCTCAAAAATGATTTGGGTAACAGAAATTTGTGCCTCCGGAATTTCTAAGGGTCTAAAAATTTTGTTTTGAATAACCGGGTCTTTACGTTAAGAATTTTATCTTAACCCAGCTATTAAAGCTCTTTGATTTTATACTCCCTGCAATCAAGGAAAATTAGGAATAACCTTGTCCGTCCGTCTGTCTGTCTATCTGTCTGTCTGTGTAATCATGTCAGGACCATAATTTGCAAAGAAGGAACATAAAAGTTCATACTTGCCACAAAGATTGCTATTACCTAAGGTTCTGTTATGACCTAGTCAAAAGTCATTAGGGAAAGTTTAATATCATTGGCAGAAGTGCAAATTTGTGTCCGATTCATCACTTTCAAATTGAATAACATTGGAAGTGCATTCTTTAAAAAAAAAAAGATTACTTCTGACCTGAAGCTGGTCCATGTCCTTGATCAAGGATTATTTAAGCAAGTTCAAGGTCACTGGCAGAAAAAGTGTATCTTTCGTGTCTGGTCAATAATTCTCATATAGAAAAAATATTGGAAGATGATACTTCACAAAGATTACCCATGAACTGAATGTTGTCTAAAACCTTGACCAATTGTCATTTGAACAAGTTCAAGGTCACTAGCAGATAAAGGGTTAAATTTAAATTCATGTCCAGTCTATAACTTTATAATGGAGAAATATTGGAACGCTTTTACTTCATATAAAGATTACACAATTAACCAGTTGATGTGAAAAGACCTTGGTCTTATTTAATTCAGCAAGTTCAAAGTCACGTTTTGAAGAAAGAACATTGGTAGCTTAGTTTTCTTAGATCTGAGGTTGTGTTTACCTTAACCCAAAAAGATTGGGTAAGCTCAAGGTTTCGGCCAGAAAAAAGTTGGTGATCCAAGTCTGGTCTATTACAGTGTACTTTGAAATTGAAAAAAAAAAAAAAACATTGTATGCAGCATTTTAAACAAAAATGACAGCAAGGATATAATTTTGTGAGTGCACAGTCTCACGGTACTTTTAGTTGAAATCATCATCGCAAACCACGGTTTTATGTCCATTTTATTAGGTCACCTGAGAGGCTGAGACCCCTGCATTAATTCTTTGAAAATCTTCTTCTCTGCTCTTGGGTATTAAGCTGATGAACTAAGTACATAGTTATGATGAGGAAGAGTGTCTCTTCCAAAATTGTGAATTGGTCAGGGAATCTGGTGTTAGGACGGGGCTCTATTAATTATGTAATGAAAATGCATTTATTCTGTTAAATAATCCTGTCTAATCCTTAGTGTTGAGCAGATAAAGAAAGTGCATAGTTATGATGAATAAGAGTGCTTCTTACAAAATTTTTAAAACTTCATGGTCCCAGGGTGAGGGGTGTTTGTGTTTCTCATTGGGTGGGTCTATTGATAACATAAGTGAAAATGTGTTAATTTTTTGAAAATCTTCAACTAAGTGCAGAGTTATGATGATGATGGTACCTCTTCCAAATTTGTGAAATTCATGACCCTGGGTCATGGGTTTTGGTGTTAGGATAGGGCTGTGTTGATTCTGTAGTCATGGTACATATGTAGTGAAAATGCATTATTTCTTTGAAAATCTTCTCTGCCCCTTGGCATATCAAAGGCAAACAAAGTAGAAGTTTGAAAATAAGCAAGAATATTTTTACCAGATTTTAAACATCTGGACCATTTGGTCAAGTGTTCTGTAAGTTGCATGTCAACATAATTATCTTGCATGTCAAGAAAATTATCTTGCGTGTTAACATAATTATCTTGCATGTTGACATAAGGAAGTCACATGTTGGCATAATAAGTTGCATTTCAAAATAATTATCTCGCATGTTGACGTAAATATCTTGCATGTCGACATAGTTATTTCACATGTCGACATAATTAAGTCCCATGTCAACATATCTTGCATGTTGACATAACTATCTTGCATGTTTACATAATTAACTCGCATTTCGACATAAATAAATGCATGTCAACATATATAAGAAATATGTCATATCGCATGTCTACATAATTACATTGCATCTATGATATCAGATACTGGTGTTAGTTAAGTAATTAACCCATATTAAAATCGAATTCTCTTAAAAGATGTGTATCTTGCATGTAGACATAATGATCTTCCATGTTGATTTGTCAAAAATGCCTGTGCTTATATAGGGATAAAGATAGAAAGAGAACATCGATGAAGTCTTTCCCCTTGCAGTCTTTTCCATGAGATTCAGTAATGTGTAAACATGCAGGCGCGGATCCAGGAATTTTTTCCAGGGGGGCCCATCCCAATCCCAGTCAAAAAAAAAAAATCTAAAAAAAAAAAAGAACTAAAAACCTAAATTCCCTTCCCAAACGCAGTATATTAAACCAAGAAAAATCTTGGCAGACAAAATATAAAAAAAGAATAATAAAAACACGTAATTCCATTTCCCAAACCGAAACGGGGGGTGGATCCAAAGTCATTTTTTATTTACTTCAGTATTATACTTTTCATAACTCTGCAAATTCCAAGGGGGGGGGGTCCAGACCCCCCTCCCTCCCCCCTCTAAATCCGCGCATGAAAATGCATATGTACAAGTTTTCTCCTTACTTTACTATCATTTTCTTTTCCCATAATTCCTACTGTAATTTTCATATTTATATATATATATATATATATATATATATATATATATATATATATATATATATATATATATATATATATATATATATATATATATATATATATATATAATTTTATATATATATATATAATTATATATATAATTATCCTAATTCTTATTGTAATAATTATTATCAAGCTTTGAATTTCCGGTCATCTTTTCATTTTTATTTCCAGTGCAATACCTTTTTGTATGCGATAGGCATTTCCATAGAAATAAAGCTTAATGTTTATGATATTTCAATGAGAAAGGGTCGTACATTGCAAGGCGTTTTAACTCCTATCTATTGATTTAAAAGTCCAGTTTAGGTACGAGTTATATTTCCTTCGATATTCATAGCTGTTTAAAGAATAAAACGGGCGGAGAGAGAGAGAGAGAGATTGTGTTAACATTACCATGTAAAAATAATGTCAGAAGTTATATATTTTATTTTTGATTTTTATGCCCCCGCCATAAAATGGCCAGGGGCATATAGTGCTACTCTGTTCCGTCATTCTCATTGACTTTTCGTTCATTATCTCGGCAACCGTTGCACACATTCAACTCTAGTTAGAACAAGTATTAGCTTTCTTAAAAAGCTGGTCTGACGTGAGCAAAATTAATTATTATACGAAGAATTAAGAAAAGTTGAATCCAGCGTAATCAACATCATTCTGAGTCCAGAAATAAGTTATTTTGCTAAGAAACAAAAGAAAATTCAATCCCGCGGCATCAACATGAAATAAAACTCAGTTATGAATTTATTCTATTTATACTGACAAATATTACCTGTAATTTTCTTTTTTTCTTGGCCGTAAACCCCCCCCCCCCCCCCGTATTTTGCTAATATATATACTTGTAATTATATGCTATAAAAACATTTATGCTACTTTATGCTTGATTACCATAACTCAAGTAAATAATAACGTATGAAATGCATGATATTTTTTTTTACTTGATATTAATGATAAGGAATTTTTCCTTAATAGTGCCACTCCTCTATTGAAATTTTTGGTTGTGGATTCCCTCCCCGTGAAAATTCTTCCGAATAGCCTTTTCCTAGATACATAAATATATCCACTGCTTTTGAAAGAAAAAGATAAAACACATATTAAAAAATCAAAACATCAGTTAAATTCGTGAACAGTTGGGGGAATTATTTTTTTTAATCAAAAACTTGTTTTAAATGAGCAAACGTCAGCAAAGTTGCGCATATGTGTATTTCTTAATTAAGGTAGAAAGACTGTATGCATTGAAAATAAACATCTATTAGTTAATCTGATAAGGATATTCGGCATATATGTTGACCTGATAGACCAGATTCCTGTTGTTTTGCTGGACGTACATGAATGATTGTAATGTATAAGAGAGTGGGCAAATGTTATGTTATGTGTAATGTGATAATAATTAGGTCCAATGCTTTGGTCTGTTTGGATGTTTAGCCATTAATCCCCATGCTCTCAAAATTGATAGTTATGATAGAATGAAGTTTCTAAGATCGAGTTATCACAATAATTCTATTGAACGAATTGACCAACAAGCCTTGGCTAAATCTAGTACTGTCTGACGCCATGACGTCAGACAATAAATGTGTCTCGGAACAGACCCTCACAACAGTTAAAATGCCTCCCATATGCCCGCAATGTAGCAGAAAATTGCAGAATCGCTCTGAAACGATTTTGGAGAAAATAAATAAAGTTGCATTGAAAATAACTCCAACTTTTGTAGGGATGTATGCATAAGATTGAAATTGCATATGCAGATATTTTACCAGAAAATACGAGGTGATCAAAAAGTTCGCGAACTAATTGAATTACTTCCTTAAAAGAAATAAAATGAGGTTTTAGTGGTCATTATTTTTTAAAGTAGTCCTCTCCGATTTTAATGCACATCTGCCATTGTTCTGCCCATGCGCGAATCACGTGATCCAGGCGGTCACGTGACATGCTTCGTAGC